CTGCCTTGGGAAAGCTAGCGTGTCTCAATTTTCTTAGAGAGCACTAGAGGGCGCCCATGGGTTGGGGTTAAAAAATGGACACTTCCGTCTGACGTTGCGTCAGGGTTGACTGACAGTGTTCTTAGCCAATTACAGTGAAGAAGAGCTCCAATGAGGCGTGACCAAGTCCACAAACACAGCCAATCACAGCGTAGCAAGCGCAAGCGCAAGCAACGGGTCCATACTCCAGAGGTGAGGTGTCTATTTCTGCCGTATCGAACCAAGCAGAAAGTTCAAAATTGGTAACATATGATTACAAAATTGTGATTAGAATGAATGGAACAGCATATTCAAACTTTGACAATCAAGAACACGTTCTCAAACTAGGCGAAACCTTTGAGAAACAACCTAAAAGTGCATTCCACACGGTACGATGTAAGTGGCATCTTTTACATTATCTTACATTTTACATTAAGAAATTATATTTTGAAAAAAAGGACCTGTTTTTTACGCTGATACTGAAACCATAAGTTGTTTTCAAACAATGTGTACAGGCATATGAGAAGGCAGCTATGTGCTTTTCCACCTTGCGGTTGTGGCTAGAAGGGATACAGCAAAAACCGGAAGCTAACGATAAATTGAATTTCCTACCTATTAGATTGTTTTATTAACGTCTAACGTTACACCTACCCCAACCCTAAACCTACCCCTTACAATAATGCTAAAATAATAATTGTTGTACAGTGTGAGAAAAATTACGCTATATTGATGTGCGCATGCCCAGTAGTTTTTGCTGTATGCCATCTAGCCTTAACCGCTGGCTAACCCAGCTTTTTGTTATTTGGAAATAATAAAAAAAGCAGTTGTCTTTGTGCTTAAAATGGAATCCTACCAAAACGAACACCATTTTCTATCCTCTGAAAAGCTGTGGTTTAAATGAATTCTTGGAGAACATTTAATTCATGAGAAATTATTGACTTTCCATTACAGTAGGAAACACGCGCCCTCTGTAGGTTCTACATTGGCACGCCGCACAACACTACTTCTGATGTCAGCAATGGCACACATAGTTATTATGAAATATGAATGTTTTCTTCCTGGTCATAGATGATTTCAAACCAGCCTCCATAGACACAACATGTGAGGGGGAGCTGGAAGTGGGCAAAGGAGAGCAAGTTACAGTCACACTACCGAACTTAGAGGTAGGCTCAGTAACCTTAGTTCCACAAAAAAAATCTTGTATGTACAGTAACATTGAAGATTAAGCTGAATATTCTTTCCCATCAATCTTTGCAGGGATCCACGACACCTGTTACCGTATTTAAAGGTTCCAAAAGGCCTTATATGAAAGAATGTGTTCTCATCGTTAACCATGACACAGGAGAGTATCGTCTGGAGAAACTCAGCAGCAACATTGCCGTCAAGAAGACCAGGTATAATGCTTTTGTGTTCCAAGTCATATGGATTTATCATTTATTTCATTATATACTCCTTTAAAGCATTTAAGTAAACAAACTGTCATATTTCCATATCCTTACAGGGCTGAGGGAAGCAGTAAGATTCAGTCCCGGCTAGAGCAACAAACCAGCAGGCTTAGTCAGCAGATGAAGACCGGCAGTGGAAACAAGGCTCCATCCAGCACCAAGAGCTCTCCTCCCAAGGAGAAAATGTCTCCATCATCTCCCATGGATGATATTGAGCGAGGTAGTATGTCTTGACAGTATCTGGAAACATTTAAATCAGGGTTTTAATCAGTTCAGTCAGTATAATCAGCAGGACACCAGCTTGATTACTAGAGAGCCGTAATCCAAACACATTTATGGAAATTGTAAAATAGACAAAAGTACATTACTGTTCAAAAGTTTAGGGTCAGTATGATTTTTTTTTTTTAATTCAATAAATTAATACTCTTATTTTGCAAGAACACATTAAATTGATCAAAAATGACAGTAAAGACTTCTACAAAAAAAATAAATGCTGTCATTTCAAACTTTCTATTCATAAAAGAATCATGAAAAATATGATTCCACAAACATTAAGCAGCACAACTATTTTTTAACATTGTTTTTTTAATAATTGAGCACCAAATCAGCATATTAGAATGATTTCTGAAGGATCATGTGACACTGAAGACTGCAGTAATGACTGCTGATAATTCAGCTTTGCCATCCCAGCAATAAATTGCATTTTAAGTTATCATTTTTTGGTTACACTTTATTTTAAGGTGTCCTTGTGTAATCAGTGTAATTATATATTTAAGTACTGAGTAATATTAATTAACTACATGTACTTGCTATATGGTTAGGATTAAGGTTTGGCTTAGCATGTAATTATGCATAATTTATTGTTATTATAATAGTAAGTACATGTAAGGTGTAACAAGGACACCGTAAAATAAAGTGTTACCAATTTTTGAATCATTTAACAGTTATTTTAAATTGTAATAGTATATCATAATAGTACTGTTTTTACTATATTGATCAAATAAATGCAGCATTTGTGAGCATAAGAGACTTCTATTAAAAACATTAAAATCTTACTGACCCAAGCCCCTTGAACAGTAGTGTACAAGCATGTGTACTGGAATTCTTTAGGCAGTCCTTCTTGTTTTATGTGTTTGTGTAGAGCTGATGGCCGAGGCACGTGTCATGGATCAGATGAGCAGTGGCAATAGCTCCTCAGATTCCCACAGTTCCTCCTCCAGTAGCGGGGACAGCTCCAGCAGCAGCGACTCAGAGGATGAGGATCGCCCCCCACATAATGTGGCCCCAGCTCCCCCTCAGAGCACCTCTGCCCTCAGCACATCTCAAAGCCGTGTGGAGGAAAGCAGCGAGCATTTCATGAACACACTCAGTGAGTTTCAGGGCTTCTGGGTGATTTTGGATGGTCTGTCATTCTGTTTTGTGTGTCTAATATGCTAACGTTTCGATTTATTTCAGAAAATGATCTCCAGTTGAGTGAGTCTGGGAGTGAAAGTGACGATGACTAACCGCAAAGACGCGTGAGACACCTGATGCTGAAAGAGGGTCAGGTGCTCAGGAAGTACATTTACTAGTTAAAACTTTGTGATACCTGAATCCAAATCCCTGTCAACTTCTCCGTTATGAATTTTTTTCTTTCCCTCAGTTTCTTAGTAATACTTGCATCAGCACAAGCTGTGCCACTGGACACATAGCTGGGTTTTTTTGTTTTTTTTTTGCTGTATTAGTAAATTAAGAAAAAGTATTTATTTTGTTGAGAATGCTACTGCATAGATGTTACTTTTATAGGAATGTCCTATAATTACTTCCCCAGAGGTTATAGAATTATATCTGTTTGTGAAATAGCTGTTTAAAAAGATCACCATGGTCTTCTTTTTTCTCTATATTTTTTGAGGCTTAACATACTCAAGCACAAGTGATTTAGCGGCATTTTATAAGGAGTCTTAAGGAGCACCAGTGCATTAAGATGCCAAGCTCAATCTCAGATATTTACACATTACTCGACCTGCAATACTTGAATTTGTCTCTTTTGCGGATTCAGAGACATTTGTTCATAACAAACTGTGCCTTGTATATAAGGTGTATTTTGACTATCCATCCCATTCTCTTACATTGAAGTACACCCATTTTTTTTTAAATTCCTGCTTGGGTTCCCTAAAATATGATCTCCATTTAGAGGTAGAAGTCTCTGTGTTGTGTATGTCTTACTGTACGCCTCTGGAAGGCCCAAAAGCAACTCTTAACTCTTAACTCTTAAAGGATGTCCTTAGCCAGCCCTTCTTGAGCACTAATTGCAAAATATGATGTGCCATTATTATAGCAGGGTTGACTGATGTGGTTAAATGTAGTTCTGTGGGAGGTTTGATCATTAAAATTGTGTGTAGACTAATAAAGATTTGTTTTGTGATGTTTATTTGTTTTTCATTTTATTGTCTCAATATAGCAGCACATCATTATATAGCAGCATCTGAGCTGCAAAGTATGTTAACCGAGCTTCAAGTTATGGCATAATTAACTTGTTCAAGTCTGATTGAGTATTTGTGAGATAGGAATCATTGCTCTAATTATACTGAGGGTTTCAACATACAGTAAATCTTTTTGAACATTATGTAGTAGTTTGTAAGACATGCATCTTTTCTGTGAAGACTCGAGAGACTATTTGACAAGCATTGGGTTGTTTCTGAAGCGAAGATGTTGAAATAGTGTTCTTACTATGGCTCTGAGCAAGTGTGTATGCAAATTCTTTTTTTAATTTTGTGTGTGTGTACTTACATGTAACAGTATCTCTATTGTGCAATGCATGGAGACATGAAGTTGTTCATTTTTAACACTATTACAAAAAGTTGTCATAGCAAAATGCCACAGTTATTGGTGTGCCATATGACCATGGATACTTGATATCATTTCTCATTGTCATCAAAATATGTCTTAGAAGATTTTCATAGCTTTCTTTTCCAAAACACTGTTAGATGTTTATAAAAAGAGTTATAAAAAGCAGGTAAAATCTTTCTACATTTCACTTGCCATGAGACATTTATTCATTCATGTGTTTAATTTTTAGATAACTTATTTTAAAACGGTATTTCTGTAGCAACACCAAAAAAAGGCCAATGCCTTTAACATGAAAAAAAATAGAGTAAAATATCTAGTTTGACCATGGTGAATTCAATAGATAAAGCTGAAACGCAGTTTGAAAACATCTAGTTCTTACGACCCGTTTTGTGACTTGTAACATTCAGTGAACAGAAACTCTTTTGTTAAATTTGTTCTGTGAAAAGCGCAAACGTTGTAACCAAAAGGACGCATTAAATTGATCAAGTGATAATGAAGTGTTTTACATATTATTGTTGCACAATATATTCCTATTGCAAATAAATACTATTAATTTGAACATTCTATTCCAAATCTGCATATTAGAACGATCTCAGAAGGATCATGTGACACTGAAGACATCAAATAAATGCAGCCTTGATGAGCATTAGAGACTTTTTACAAAAATATTCAAAAGTCTTTACTGATCCCAAACTTTTGATCGGTAGTGTACATTCGCTTGAAATTACTGTAATACGCCGCAAGATTACATACTTAAATGGTTGATTATTATGATTTTATAGTAGTAACAGTTGTATTTTGGCAGAAACAATGGTTGCCGTGAAGGTAAATGTTTGTAGTGGTAGTAACACTGGCGACTTTCACGGAATCTCAACAGGAACAGTTACCCGCCTCGATAACAAGCGAGTTGACTCAAGTTCATTTGCAGGTGAAGAGTCGCTCTTGGCACAGACTGCCATTACAAGGAAGCACACTGCTCTAACAGGACTATTGTACAGACTGTGCTGTGGACTGCGAGATTAGACATGTCTTCCAATTCAATGCTGAGAACTGGATCATTTGTATGCAAGCAGGACTACGGAGGAATAAAATGCCTGACATCGGTATTCTGCACTCGGACAACCAGTAACGTTACATTAATAGGTGGTGATAAACAAAAAACCATGGACGACTTGGATGGTCCTAGCTTTCTGACATCATTATACTGGCTCTTTGGGAAAGGTTATTTTCAAACTACACATCAAATGCAGGTAAAGATTCATAAGAAGGTTCAGTAAAGAACACTTTTAATATCCAAATGATTGTCTTCATTCCTCCCGGGAAAGTTATGTTGGGTTTTTATATCTTTGTTTTTTATTTATATATATATATATATATATATAGGGTTTAAATTGGGGCTGAGCCCCGCCACATAGACTCCAGGGCTCTACATTAACGCTTCATTAACGCAAGACAAGTAACATGCTTAAAACATCAGAAACAAAAAATACCAAAACGCAAGTATTATTCTAATTTCATTACCTTTAGAGTAAGTGGCGAATAGTGGATATAGCTACTGTAACGTTATATAATGCATTTGACGGAATAAGGTTGCGCTGCTGAGGCGAGGCTCACGCAGCCTCTCCAGGAGAAATCAAAACACTAAGAAACTGAGCATCCTGAGGTAAACATTCAAAATGGAAAGTTTTTATATTTAAAATACAGTTAGTTAGGCAACAACACACAACGTTTTAACCATTACGACGGTTTAATAGTTCTATAAACGGGTCAATAAGCAAATACTATTAGGTCACTTACATTTTAGGCGGAACCAAAGCGCATCTCACAGCAACCGCCGATTCATTGCTGAATGATTCCGTGTTTTGAACGAATCGGTTGAATCAAAGTTTCATTAGCCTATGCATAAACATCTGATGAATCTGCCGTTTGAACTAATCGCTTGAATTAACAACTCAGTGACTCACTCATTAAACGCTCACTACTGGCACCTACTGGCGTTTTAATTTAGTTTAAAAGTATCATTTCCACCATCATTTCTTGTTTGTATATTCAAAAAAATATTTAAAATAATCTCATAATATTATTTAATGCAGTTGTATTTTTCAGTGTAAATGATTTAATTTGATAACGTATAGATAACATTATTATAATTGAATTTATAGATCAAATAAGAATTTGAAATGAAAGTATTAATGTAGTGGGAAAATGCCCTCTATAAAGGTTAAAAAAAAGCCCTTGGATAAAATATAAAAAACACGCACATTTATATGTCACAGCTGATAGAAAACTGGTGAGAATATTGCTTCAGAATAAATAATATTTGCAAGTTAATAATGATAATATGTAACATGAATCTTTATTTAAACTAAAATGTGTAATTAATGCAGATAGAGCACAGCAAAATCTACAGCCCCCTTTGGAGGTCCAAATATGGACCACTGGTTGTTGTTAATGTGGCCAATGCAGACCTCATAGAACAGGTTCTACGGCAAGAGGGTCGCCATCCCATCCGTACTGACATGCCCCACTGGAGAGGCTACCGAAAACTCCGGAATCATGCTTATGGACCCCTGACAGAGTAAATAACACTGGAGACCCCAGTATTATTGGCAAAGTATTCCTCTGTTATTTAAATGCATTCATTGCACTCATATTGTGCAACCATAATGCTGTCAGCTGCTGCAAAAGTATACATAAAAACATCTGCAGATGTTATGAAGCCACAAATGTAGTGCACGTCTGAACATGCATTGAGGAGCTTGCAATTGATTGCTTAGAAAGTGAGTAAAGTACAAAATGAAAACATGACTGAAGACACACATTGTTGTGTCCGTTGAACAGTAAACCAAAACCTAATTCAAGAAAAAAATTAATGGAATTTGTATGCTAAACCCATTTTAGTGGGAATAAATAGGGAATTGTTTTTGAGATCTTACAGTGAACAATGAAATTGCATTGAAATCTGTGTGAAGGATGACAACTGAGGCAGACGATAAATGCAAGTGTTTGTGGGAAAACTGGATGTGAGGTACCATAACCTCCAAACATAAATGAAAAAAATGAGGGCTTACTCATTCAGTGTTCAGAGGTCAACTATAAACTGACCATGAGAACACTGCATGAATTTGATCAGTTTTACCACATAAGCAATGTTCGGAACATATTTTGAATATAAAATGTCCACTTTTTTATGTTAGCAAATTATGCAAAGATGTATGAGAAAGTAGTTATGCTGACAGAAATGACAGTACTTATAATGCATTTATTGTCCCGTTTCAGAATGGGAGCGGAGTGGCAGCGCATTAGAAGCATCCTGAATCCTCGCATGCTGAAGCCCAAACATGTGTCCTCCTACACCAGTGCCATTAATGGTGTGGTGAGCGACTTTATTGAGAAGGTGGCAAAGCTTAGGACAACAAAAGGCAATGACCTTATGGTGTATGATGTGGCAGGAGAACTGTACAAGTTTGCCTTTGAAGGTAGGCTATAACATATTGAGTAATTTCATGCTCAATATATTGAATTATGCCATAAAGTCATTCCCAGGCATTCATATTAGCAGTTTTAATGAGTCAGGTGAGTACAGAGGGTCAATGCCACACATGCATGCATTAGATAACAGAGGCCATCCTATAAAGAGCATTGGCCTTGGCAAGTTCATAGCTTCTAGTCATCTGCAGTTGACTAAAGATAAAATTGTGTACTTATATTATTGCGTTATTTTGTTCCTGTGTAATTTTGATTTTAGGTGTAGTTTTTACTATCGCACACACACACACACACACACACACACACACTCACACATACACAACACTATAATTTTTTGTTGTCTTTCCTTCATAAGGAATATGCTCAGTGTTGTTTGAAACTCGTATGGGGTGTCTGAATGAAGTGGTTCCTGAAGAAACACAGAAGTTTATCTTCTCTGTTGGGGAAATGTTCCGTCTTTCTCCCATCGTGATCCCGTTTCCCAAATCTCTCTGGACCTACATGCCTTTTTGGAAGCATTTCGTGGCTGTTTGGGACCATTTGTTCAAAGTTGGTAAGTATTACTATTATTGTCATGTTTAAAAGATAAAAAAATCAAATACAATTATTGTTATGAATAAAAATGTTTTTATTGTTGTCATGTTTATTTGCACGACTGTTCAAAAGTTTGGGATTGGTAAGTTTAAAAAAAAAAAGTAAATTAATATTTTTATTCAGCAAAGATACATAATATTGATCAAAAGTGACAGTAAAGACATTTATAATGTTGCTGTTCTTTTTAACTTTCTATTCATCAAAGAACCCTGAAAAAATCACATTCCACAAAAATATTAAGCAGCACAAATGCTTTTCCAAACCCCAAACATTTGAACAGTAGTGTAGAGTGTCTCTATTCAAACTATACTCATTAGGTAACAGAATGCCAGTCATCTTCAAAAATGCTGTTTTTTTTGTTGTTGTTTTTTGCACAGCGGATGAACTAGTGCAGAAGAAGATGGCAGAGATTCAGGAAAGGGTGAAATATGGGCAGCCAGTGGAGGGCGAGTATCTCACACACCTCCTGATCAGTGAACAGATGTCCTTCACTGAGGTTTTGGGAAGCATTACAGAGCTTCTGCTGGCAGGAGTTGACACTGTAAGTATCTTCACTCCTTATGGAGGCAATGCATTACTTATCTTGCCATTTACAACATTTGATTTAAAACTAAGATAAATAAATAAGCAATAAATAAGCATCACTAGTATTTGCAACGTATTTGAGATTCTGCATTTTTGATGCATGCTTATTTTAGACATCAAACACTGTTTCCTGGGCGCTTTATCACTTGGCACGGGAGCAAGAGATCCAGCAGAAGCTGTATGAGGAGATTATCAGTGTCTGCCCGGGTGACAAAGTGCCCTGCAGTGAAGACATTACCAGGATGCCATTGCTAAAGGCCATCGTTAGAGAGACTCTTCGGTATAGTATCTTCTGTATCTCTCAGTTATACTGTGTTATAAACATATTTAAAGGGATAGTTCACCCAAAAATTGCTTAAAATGCACTCACCCTCAGGCCGTCGAAGATGGGATAGATGAGTTTGTTTCTTCATCGGAACAGGTTTTGGATCCTCTGCAGTGAATGGGTGCCTTCAGAATGAGAGGCTGATAAAAGCATCACAAGTAATCAACACAGCTCTAGTCAATCAGTGGAGAAATTGAAGAAAGCAGTATTATGAATAAAGGACTCATATTTTAGCTGGAAGCAGTGGTTTGAAACTAAAAACGTCAACATAAGAAGAACATAAATGTCATATTAACATTAATTCATGGGCGGGAGTCATGTGGATTACTTGTGGATTATTGTGATGTTTTTATCAGCTGTTTGGACCCTCATTCTGACGGCACCCATTCACTGCCGAGGATCCACTGGTGAGCAAGTGATGCAATGCTAAATTTCTCAAAATACTGTATGTTCTGATGAAGAAAAAAAACTTATCTACAGTTTGGATGGCCTTGAGGGTGAGTACATTTTTAGTAAATATTCATTTTTGGGTTAACTATTTCATTAAAAGCGTGTCAAAGTAATGAAAACAGTGTTGTGTTAGCTTGCTAGATTAATCCTCCAAACGTGTTCTCTCAGTTTATATCCGGTGGTTCCTGGGAATGCTCGTGTCGTTGCTGAAAGAGAAATAGTGGTGGGTGGCCACCTCTTCCCTAAAAATGTAAGCTGAACTACAAACTGCCATTCCAGAAACAAATACAGCTGGAATCTGATGTACATTCAATTTGGTACCAGTAAATAGATGTCCAAACTGATCAGCGCTGTGTATTCTGTGTTTTCCAGACTCTTTTCCACCTCTGCCACTTTGCAGTGTCCTACGATGAGAAGGTGTTTCCCAATCCTTCTGCCTTCCTCCCTCAGCGCTGGATCCGGGGGGAGAAGCAGTTAAACCAGCATCCCTTCGGGTCTGTGCCGTTTGGCTTTGGCATCCGCGCCTGCCTGGGCCGCAGAGTGGCTGAACTGGAGATGTACCTCCTCTTGTCCCGGGTAAGAACACATTTCACAGATGTTTCTGTTAATACGAAATGAAAAGAAGTTCTTGTACCTCCCAGATTTGAGGTTTTATAAACTGTACAGTGAGGCTCAGAAGTCTGAGGCCACATTGAAAATCTGGATTCAGGTTCTGCTTTTAAATAAACAGAAATTTTGATGAGTTTAAATAGTATAAAACTATTTAGGTCATTCCATGAATGTTGAACCCATCCATGTCACCAGTGATTTTCCTGACCCATTTTGTTGTGTTAGTTTTGGATCCTTGCCTAATCTTCAGTCCTTCACCTTTGGTCCAACCTCCTCTACTATTACAGAGATAGTTCTGCTTATCAATGAGTAACTAAGATTCATGTATTCAGCATGTTTCCTGTGATAAACATTAAACTTGCATGTTAAGGTCAATATGCCTTCATTTTTATTTTTTTACCTTTTTCAGTTAATTAAACATTATGAAGTGCGTCCAGACCCTTCAGGAAACACTGTGAAGCCGATCACACGAACTCTGCTGGTCCCTGCCACATCCATTGACCTGCAGTTTATTGATAGGCAAAAGGAGCAAGAGGAGCCAGTCAAAGCAAATGCTTCTGTATAAATAACTGTGCACTTCTCAAAGCAATTTGCTTCTAGATAATGTTTACATGTTTTATGACTTATAAAATTGAAAAATATAACTACAATGCGTAGCCCTGTGGACACAAAGTGCTTACTAAATTACATTGCTTGACTGTTGCCTTTTTTAAGGCATTTTTATTTATAATAACACTTACACTTATTTTGCTGTTATAAATACCTATTATACAGTATACTGTAAATGTATTCATTTTTGACATTACATTGTGAAAATAGTTTTGTTTTAATTGCATGTGAATTAATGTCTTTGTAATTAATGTAATGAATTAATATTAGTGTCAGATGTGATGGTTTTTAGATCTTTTACAAATAATGTCAACTTATTTTCTTTTGTGAATGCACCTTCATTTTTTTAATTATGTTTTTTATTTTTAGAGGAAATTAATATTACAATTTAAATACAATCTATTTTCAGGTTGCATTGTCCTTGCTGGTGAGAATATAGTAAGAATAATATTGATAATAACTGACCACGTTGCAACACCTGTCCAGTTTCAATGAAATCCTTCTCTCTAGTTCAGTTTCAATATGAATGCAAATTCCAATGATGCTCCCATGTGGGTGAGAATTGTAATTGCAATAAATAGAAATATTCCAGCTTTTACATATTTCTGTTTTTGTTCCACTTTTACGTCAACAAAAAAATAGAGTTTGACACTTAGCCTACCTAGGCATTGCACAGGTCTAAGCGCTGATTAAATTAATGTCATAAAAACGATCTATAAGAAAGTTAATATGGAATGTGTCAGTGAATTTGCATGATTTTTAAAATGTTTTCCTTTTTTCTATCCCAACCTTTCAAATAAATTCACCATGAAATAGATTTTGCAAGCCCATCACCCATTTGCATTCTCCTTCTCTCTAAAAGTTTATTCTGCAGATGATTCACCTTTTGATTTCTTAATCTTTCAATAAAATAAATAAAAATACATTTTTAGCATACACTATTTATACAGCATTTTCATATTTTCCCAATTTACCTGATTTACCAATTATATCCAGCAGATGGTAGTGTTGGATCAAACTAAATGCACTAGAAAGCGGTAGGAAACCGTCGTTTCAGGTAGCTTACATTTAAAGGGGTCATATGATGCTATTTTAAAGATCATTATGTTGTGTATTTGGTGTAACAGGATATGTTGACATGCTTTAATGTTAAAAAACACATTATTTTTCAAATACTGTACATTATTATAGGTCCTCTATGCCCCGCCTCTCTCAAACGCTTCGTTTTCTACAAAGCCCCTCCTTCCGACAAGCACAGTATGCTCTGATTGGCCATCTGACCCAGTGCATTGTGATTGGCCGAACACCGCAAGCACTCGTCGGAAATGTAACGCCCCTTACCATAATCGCGAGCTTCAGCTCCCCCCCCCCCCCCCCCCCCCACGCACTCACACACGATGCGCAAAACTCCGCATTTGAACAGTCAATAACAAATACTTAAAACTATTAAGAAAACGTACTTACATCTGCAAAGTCGGAATTGACCTTTTTTGTTTATATAGCCTTTGCACAGCCAGCCTTGTAGGCTACTCGCCTAGGTTCACAAAACTGTCGTCCATAAAATGCGTTGCACAAATTCGAACATCTGGGTTGTGCTGTTCTGTTGTAAATAAATCTTAACCAATGATTCCTCATTGCATCTACTTTCGGAAGGCCAAATAAAGTGCTTTTGCACAGAAATACACAGCGTCTCCCTGACATGGCTGCATCAACACTACTGCTCCTGAAACCACGCCTTCTTTCTTTACCTGCACATTTGGGTGGCATTACGCAAATATTTCCACATCATGACTAGAGATGGGGGGGCGTGTTTGAATGAGGCGTTTTAGCCTGGTCTGGATCAGCCTTCTCTTTTAGACAGAATAAATCCTTTTGTGGGAGACTTTGAGCTTTGTAACTCTGCAGATCTTATACATGCACAAATAGCTACATAACACACTAAAGAAAAGGAAAAATAGAAATCGCATCATATGACTCCTTTAAATAAACAAATCACAATCCGTGATGCACTGATACATATAGGCCTATCAGTATAGCCATTATTATACTCCTGCTTTTGTTAACAAACATTAATAAGGTCCCCATTGACTTCCATAGTCATAGTTCCATACTATGGAAGCCATTCAATGGCTACCAGCAACTGTGTGGTCACCAAAATTCTTCAAAATATCTTCTTTTGTGGAGAAAAATGTAAGTCATAGAGGTTTGGAATAACTTGAGGGTGAGTAAATGATGACAGAATTTACATTTTTGGGTGAACTATCCCAAAAGTTATTTTAAAGAAAGAATACAGGCAAACTCTAAAATCCTCATACTTAAAGAATTTTAGAAAGTTTTTATTCTATATGGTGTTTGGGATTTATTTGTATATAATGATGTGAGTTAACAGCAGTTTAACGACAGGTATGCTTCATTTATTGACTCATATTAATATCTCACAGAAAAAAATACGTAAATGTATATCTGTGACATTATTTGACACTTTTTGGTGCAGTCAGGTCTGATTGTACAGGACTAAGGTTAGCAGCACTGACCATGCGTTAATCCAAGTTAGTTACATCCATAAACTGGGGTATGTTGCAATAAAATATTATAACAAAACAAAATCCAGAGGAAATTCTTTGGACAGCTTCTACAAAGTTATAAGTGCTCATTTGGCAGTACATGTGTTTTATTATGTTCTGAGGTGCTTTTAAATGGGGAGAATAGACTGCATCATCATTAATACATGTCACTGATTCAGTCGTACATATTGTGATTATAGTGAAGTGCAAAATATTTCCCTTCAGTTCATGTCCCAGGAATTCCCCAGTGGAGTTTTAGAAAGAATCCTGATAGCAAAAGGAATGCATGCAGATGAAACGGCATCTGAAATCACATGACTGTGCAGGTTTTTGCCTTGGTCTTGTGTAGACGTGACACTGAGTCCAGCTCAGGCCTGTTAGATACATGTGAAGTCCTCTTGTTGGCTCTGCTGGACTTGATGCGCTTCGCATTCTTGTTGCTTTTACTGATGCAAGCCAGTGTGGCTATGTGAAAAATGTCCCTCACGCTGTTCTCCGACTGCTGCGCTGAGCACTCGATGTAAGGAGCCGAGATCAGCTTGGCCATGTTTGAACCCTAAAACAAATAGTCAAAAATGACTATATACTTAAATACTAAATACTTGATTTAATGTATTTAAATCAGTTAAAATCCAGTTAGCAACTCTGATCTAATGCAGAGGTCATCAACAGGAGGACCCCTAGGGGGTCTGCCGTGTTACTGCAGGCGATCTGCTAATCAATGTTACGATTTAATGTTCATTTTAAAAAACGAATATAAGCTAAGATCATTTCAAAGGTAAAGTTTAGCCAAATGTTTCTTTTGAAAGGTATCAAGTGAATTTACAATGTACAAGTATATGATTGTGTGCAACAATAATGATTATTTGAATGGTTTGCAAGCTAAGAATCTTAAAGTAAAAATACATGAATATGCAACTATGCATGGTATTATCGCACAGGTTTAAAATCCAGTAGTGCCAAGAGGTCCTTGGTTAAAGATACTTTAGCTACTACTAATACTATGATACTTCAAATACTATGCTATGGATCTAATTGCATTATTTTCTAGTACAAGCTTTTGAAATTATATGTTGTATCTGGGGGTTTTTTTCATTAAAGGTATAAAATATTCTTTACTCACCTGGTCATATGATGAAGGAATGTCATTGGACAGCTGCACAAATGTGGCCAGGTCTGCACGCAGGTCTGACTTACATCCAACCAAAAGTACTTTAGTATTGGGACAGAATTCTTCGATTTCTCCCTTCCACTAAAGGATTTAAAACGTAGGGTTAGATTGATGACAATCATAAAAGCACATGTATTTTACAAAAATTCTAATATATAACTTTTTGTTATTGTTAAAGGGGTCATATGATGCGATTTCAATTTTTCCTTTCTCTTTGGAGTGTTACAAGCTCTTGGTGCATAAAGAAGATCTGTAAAGTTGCAAAGACTAAAGTCTCAAATCCAAAGAGATATTCTTTATAAAAGTTCAGAGTCAGCCACACCTACCTAAAACGGCTCGTTCTAACACGCCCCCACATATCTACCTCACTATGTGGGAAGATTTGCATAACGCCACCCAAATGTTCACGCAAAGAAAGAAGGCGTAACTTTTATTCTCGCTGTAGTATTGTTGACGCTGCAGCCATGTCGTGAATACTCTGTGTGCTTCGTTGTAAAAGCGAAACTACTTTGTTTGGTCTTCCAAAAGAGGACGATATCCGCTTCGTCATGCCTAGAGCTGATCTGTGCTGGTCGCTGAGGGAATACATCAACTTTCACCGTGGACGAAGCAGAGTCCAGCCCGGGGTCGTCACATGTGGTTGCCAGGGCAAGGAGCAAGGAGGGAGCCCGTGATTGGCTGTGGAGTAGATTGACTGGAGCGCCGATCGCCAAAGTCACCACGCCCCCCACTTATTAGTTTAAAAATATATATTTTTTTGTAGTAAAGCAAAATATAAAGTATAAATATTTGATGGAAAACATAAAAATGAGAAATGTTGCCTTGGCAACTAACTTAAAATAAGTTTCAGATGAAGTATTAAAATAAAAACTGAAAATCTAAAAATAAACCCTACATCAAAATATTTAAAAAATAATATGTTTGAATATATATTGCAATGTTATTAAAATAAATAATATCATATCATAATATCAGTAAAAATAAGTGTTAGCCTAAAATTCATTTCGAAGGCCATAATATAATTATTTATTTTTTCAAGTAATCTTCTGTATAATACTGGATTGAGCTGTTTATTTGGACAATGACAGGCCCCACAAATTCCTTTCTACATTGTTTATATGACATCCAGTGTTTCTAAAACATGTTTGTTATCTCAGCACCCATAAAAATCTGATTGCATGATTGTTCTTCATGACTCCATGACATGACCAGATACCAACATGCATTTATTTTTTATTATTAAATTTTTTCCTTCTAGCCAGTGGAGAACCCTAGCATACAGTATAGTGACTGCAGTCCTAGAATCACTCCTGATGACATCAGCTTAGAGTTGGCACAGATCACTATAGTCACTATAGCATTCTGCGGCACAAAGGCTCTCTGATTCTGAGACCCAACGTAAACAAGCTCTTACTGGCTGTCGTTCTCCCCCTCATGTGATAGTCAAAGGATCAGAGCCCTCCCACACATTCCCCCTCTCCTTCACTGGACTCTTCTCTCAGATGTCTGGACTTTTGTTCTCATTGCTACAAAGACGGGGCTTGTGAGAATATCCCAACCACAATTCAGAGCTACAACCGTTTATAAACATTCAGCGTCGATGAACAAATGTCTTTAAAATCAGCTTACCTTCTTTAGCACATTCTCCAGAGTCTCCGGTCGACCGATATCAAAACAGATAAGAACTGCATCAGTGTCTGGGTAAGAGAGGGGGCGCACGTTGTCATAGTATGGAGACCCTGCAAATAGACACAAAAACACTGTACTAATAAATAAATGATTACTTAACATAAACGAATAAATCTGTACAATAACAGTAAGGCAAGGCAAATTTATTTATATCACACATTTCATACACAATGG